TTGGGTTGAGTCCTTGTTAGTTTGTTGCTGGTTTTTTTTCATAGCTGTGTTCAACAGGAGTTAATATGCATTGGTACCTGTCACTGTATTCCCTGCTCCTGTCAGCTTTCCCTCTGCACACCTCTTGTGTGCTGAGTGCCTTAGAGCCTCTTCTCAGTGTTCAGTTAATCTCTAGGGTTGGGGCTTCTCCTGTGCTTTGATCAGCGCTTACATGTTGTTGTGGTTTAGCCCCAGCCGACAACTAAGCACCATGCAGCCGCTCACTCACTCCCCCTCCCACAGTGGGACAGGGGAGAGAATTAGAAAAAAAAAAACCTCGTGGCTGGAGATAAACACAGTTTAATAGGACAGAAAGAGAGAAAGAAACAACAATGATAATACCAATAAAGGAATGTACAAGAACAAGTGATGCCCAATACAGCAATTGCTCAGCACCCGGCAATCGACAGCCTGTCCTCGAGCAGCGATTTCCCTCCCTCGGCTAACTCCAGTTTATGTACTGGGCATGACGTCGTATGGTAGGGAATATCTCTTTGGCCAGCCTGGGTCAGCTGTCCTGGCTGTGTCCCCTCCCAGCTCCCCGTGCACCCCCAGCCTTCTTACTGGCAGGCCAGCACGAGAAGCTGGACTGTCCTTGGCTGCTTAGCAACAACCCAAAACATCAGCACCTTATCAACAGTTTCTCATCCCAAATCCAAAACATAGTCTCACACTAGCTTCTGTGAAGAAAACCAGCTCTATCCTGGCTGAAACCAGGACACATGTATAGTAATTTCTTTCAACAGTGACAAATCATTTGCTCACTAGACAAGGGCAGAGTAAAAAGGCAAAAAATCCAAAAACCTGCTTCCAAAGCTGATTTATCAATGAGTTGTTCAAATGAAGTAATGCTCCCCATCTTCCCCTCCCCTCAAAAAAAACCCAACCCCAAACAAAACCCAGACAGACACCACCCCCAGCACCCTTCCATCCTGCTGGCCAAGGTAACCAAGGTAGATGTATTTCTCAAAATGGCATTGCAGAACATGAGGCAAAACAAAGATGAAACTTAATGGTCCTGGGGTGATTACTAAAATGATAAGGTGTTGGGTTTTCAGGGCCTTGGTTGCTCTGTGTTGAGTGTCTGGGCTTTAGAGGTTTTCTCATTAGCTTTTATATGTTTCCTAATAACAATGATACAATCCAAGCAGTAGATTTCTGAAAGAAGATTGCAGTTCATGGGTAAGGTCACTAGTCATCAGTAGCATCATTTAATACTGATCAGACTGTTTTATATCTAGAATGTGCTTTGTGTTATGTCAGAGTGATTCATTATTTATTTCATATTGGCGCTCTGGTGTGTAATACGTGATCCTTGTAAAATCCCCATAGTGTTGGCAGTTTTCAGAGATTTGGGTAGGAAAGACCTAATTAATGCCTTATCTCTTCTTGCACCCTCCTTACTGATGCTTTTTTCTTGCTTGTAGTGCCTGTTGTTCTATGCTGTTCTCTGCTCTTCAGAGAACTAATGCATAGTAAGAGCTGATTTATTCTGTGGCAGGAAGCATAGATTCTTCTTTGAAGAATCTGTTCGGTTGCACAGTTGTTCAAAATAGCCACCACTTGAAGGTTTGTCTTTTATCTGATCAAATAAACTCTGTAAAATATGGCAAAATTTTCCATAATGAGTTGCTTTTCTTATGCTTATTACTGTCATTGGGCTGTAGGGCAGCAGTGCCACTTTGCTTTCGACAGCTTCTTGCACAGACTTTGTTGCAGAGAAACTCATGTAATATATAAGCATTGAGGGTTGTGCTGTGATAGTCACTGAAGCTGATGAGAGCCACAGAGCATATCAAAAAGGAAGTCAGAGTCAGAGTAGCTCTCAGGTATTATTTCATAAGTAGCTCCTTTCCTCACCTGACTACAAAAATTAATATTTGAAGCCTTGTCTATTTTCTTAGTATCATAAACCTAAAAACCTGGGGAAGATGGAGAGCTGGTTTATAATGCACATATCAATAACAAAACATGAACACACGCAGTAAGATGCTTGATGTTGAAACTCAGTACAGCTGTCATATTGGCAGAAAATCTGCCACAGATAGAAGTAAGATTGAACAGTTGTATCATGCAATGTTTCTGAAAAGACACCTCAATTAGGATTTAGCAGATATTTCTGAAAGTTTTAAGGGTTGGACCCTCTTCTGAATACGTGCCCCTGACCACACTAACGTAACTGTTGAGACAAGGAAGCAGGCCTTTTAGAAGACAAAAATTAATTGGGGGAAAATGCCTGAATCTTCCCTGCAAGGCCATTTCTCCAGTGGAATTTTTGTGGAGCTTGCAGCCCCATGGTGGGTTCTGACCCAAAGGGCGGCAGAAGCTCTCAGCAGAGCAGATGAAGCTGTGCTTTCCCAGCCCGCCTTCCTTCCAGGCTGTAATCTAGGGCTTTAGTGGGACTCATGAGCATCTGGTGTTTGTTTTTTGCCCACTGAAAAAAGGAAGAGCTGAGAGCGTGGCCATAACCTGTTTGAATTGATATGGTCTGTTTAATAAACAGGAGACCATATATTTGCTCACTGATGTTTTTGAGTCTTCCTGGAGAACACATTTAAGCACAGTCAATTAGTAAAATCTGCTATGGACTGCATAGACAGGCCCACTTCATTTGGAGCCAGTGTTTTAATTGAGGAGTTTAAGAGCTGAGCAATGTCCTTCAAGAAGTTACCATCTCACTCATTGTATCCCCGTGCTTGCTTCTATTTATGGCATTACATTTGAAATGTTGTGATAGAGAGACTATCTTAGCACAGCAAATACTGAAAGGTGAAAATAGTGAAATCTAATCTTTTCTGAGAAGGTGAGGAGGACTCCCAATACCTAGGTACTACCATGATTCAGTTAACAAAGTTGACCAAAACAACCTGCCCCAAATATTTAGGAAGAAAAATCTAAAGCTGAGGTTAGAGGACAGGATTTAGGTGCTTGATACACTTTTGAGAATGAAGGAATGCCTATTCTCAGCTTCAACCCCCAAACTTAAACAAACAAACAAATAAAACCCTCATTTGTTTTCTTGTCAACGGCAGCTATTTGTTATACAGCCGTTAAGGTGAAATTTCTGTAGTTGGAAGAGAAGCATATACTTGAAGTATTTGATAGCTGCTTGTTGCCACTTCATCTCTATTTGCCAAGAGTCAGGAGCACAACTTTGAGGTTATCTATAGTATGGATGTAGGCAAGTAAATAACACCTCATGGAAAGCTGGCGTTTGATTTCAGAGGGTCAGAGTGTTGGATATATATGCACAGACTGATGTATACATTCTAACTGCTTCTGATGTCCTGTGGTTTTTTGTGGCCACTACTTCAGGAAAAAAGTGAAAGTAAATGGAAGGAAAGAAAGTAAAAGCAGATAATCTCATGTTTTTTTGAAGTACTAAGGATTCTATGAATGATTATTTAATTTTTTGTTGTTGTTGTTGTTTGTTTTTTTTTTTTTTTACCTGAATGTGCTTATTTGGGAGGTAATTAGAGGACTTGTAATACCCCACTTGTTTGATCACAACTCCTGCTTGTGACATTTTATAATGAGTATATAGCTTATAAATAACATTTTGAAGGTATAAGGTTATACAGAGATAATTGAACATCTGAAATGCATTGGCACAAGGCCAAAGGCTAAGCACTTTCCACCATCCCTTCTAAATTGAATAACTTCACTTTATGAAGTGTATCATCAGAAATTGTTTTCATTACTCCTGAGGGCAAATTAAGGTTAATAAAAATCCAATTCCAGATTACCCATATGTATGAATATTTGTATTTTTAGAACCTTTCTTTGTCAATTACATTCCTCACTGACTGTATGTCTGTGAATACAGGTACATAGGTCATAGTTTCAGCTCATGTATTTCTACAGTTTTGAACTCTCTTACCTCTCTGAGGCAGACTTCCTCTAAACATGATTGTGAGACCCAGCAGGATTTTTCAAACTGAGCAAAATTAAATGCACTTCTACCACTAAGCTGTGGTTTCCTAATATCCCCTGAATCCCACCATCCTGGATTCCACTTGACCCACATAGCAGCCATTTGACCCACCTGCTTCACTCCTTGAAACCAATATTTGTATATTCTCTAAATGTTACTTTTAATAGCATATTCTTCATACAAGGCAACTCAGTATTTTGTGGATTCCTAGGCAATCTAGGAAACTCTTTACTAAAGGTGAATTAGGGGGGGAGGTTTTTCAGTTTGCTTCCTGTGGCAAATTAGTTACATACATAATCTGAAATAGCAAACACATGTTGGAGTCACGTCTTTTAGTACTCCGCTTTTACAACTTTCGATTATAGTCTTGTCAGAAGTGCCCTCTTTTCCCTCCACTGCTCCATGCTCTCTCTCTCTCCTCCCCACTTCCCAAAAAAGAGGACTTCTGCTGTCTTGATAAGACAGCTGTTTCTGCCTCTTCAGTGTAAGACAGAACTTTGTGTATAAAGAACAGTATAGTGGCCTAGTGTACAGGAATATTTAGCCAGGATAATCTTTCAGCCTTTATCATGTGTAGATTCAGGGACTCGCTTTTTCAGAGAGGGTGTCTTTATCACTTGGTGGGTTTTTTTCATCTATGAATTTATCAGTTTGTAAAAATCTATGTACTCATACAGCACCAAGAATAGCTTTTGGCAGAATTATCCTGTTGATATTTTTTTTAAAGAAAGGTTTTTTTCCACCCCAAAAATCAAATTAAGGAATTAATAAATTGCTTTTGTTGATCTTAACATTAAATGAAAAAATTTCACACCAATTAGTTAATATTCTCAGTCTATTAATAAAGTGCCAATACTGAGAACAAAGCATGAGGAAAACCAAGGAGAAGTCATAGTTGGGAATGCTTGGAGGAAAAAATAAATGATGTTGCCATTTATAAATCTATGCAGCCTGTTATGCAATTGTTGCATTTATATGTTTTTTCCTTTGTTGAATGAAACAATGTTTAAACATTTTTTCTGTACAGGTTATTGACATGCCAGAACACAATCCTGGAGATATGGGTGGAACAATGAGACTGGGGAAGAGGAGGACTGTTTTCAAAACACAAAACTCTGTTTTAAGTAAGTTATGTTTCTACTCTTACAAATAGCCTTTTGGATGGGAAGTCTGTAACACAGCAAAGCAAAAATCACAGAATCATGGAATAGTTTGGGTTGGAAGGGACCTTCAAAGGTCATCTAGTCCAACCCCCCTGCAGTGAGCAGGGACATCTTCAACTAGAGCATGTTGCTCAGACCCCCGTCCAACATGACCTGGAATGTTGCCAGGCATGGGGCATCTACCACCTCTCTGGGAAAACTCTGCCAGTGTTTCATCACCCTCATTGTGAAAATTTTCTTCCTTCTATCTAGTCTGAATCTACCCTCTTCTAGTTTAAAACCATTGCCCCTTGTCCTATTGCAACAAACCCTGCTAACAAGTCTGTCCCCATCTTTCTTAGAAGCCCCCTTTAAGTACTGGAAGGGTGCAATAAGATCTCTCTGGAGCCTTCTCTTCTCCAGGCTGAACAATCCCAACTCCCTCAGCCTGTCCTCACAGGAGAGGTGTTCCAGCCCTCTGATCATTTCTGTTGCCCTCCTCTGGACCTGCACCAGCAGGTCCATGACTCTGCTGTGCTGAGGGCTCCAGAGCTGGACACAGGACTCCAGGTAGGGTCTCACCAGAGCACGGGAGAGGGGCAGAACCACCTCCCTTGACCTGCTGGCCAGACTTCTTTGGATGCAGCCCAGGATACGGTTGGCCTTCTGGGCTATGAGTACACATCGCCGGCTCCTGTCCAGCTTTTCATCCACCAGTACCCCCAAGTCCTTCTTGATAGGGCTGCTCTCAATCCCTTCATCCCTCAACCTGTACTGATAGTATCAGTGGGTTGCCCCAACCCAGGTGCAGGACCTTGCACTTGGCCTTGGTGAACCTCAGGAGGTTCACATAGGCCCATTCCTCAAGCTTGTCCAGGTCCCTCTGGATGACATCCCGTCCCTCAGGCATGTCAACCGCACTGCTCAGCTTGGTGTTGTCTGCAAACTTGCTGAGGGCGCATTCGATCCCACTTTCTATGTCATTGATGAAGATATTAAAAATGCCAAAGCCCATTTTGTTAAAGGACTACAACCTCAAGCAAGCAGTTGGGTGACAGCTTCCCTCAGCTCATTCGCTCTGATCCTGTTTCTGTAAATATTTACCCAGGATTAGAATGATAAGGAAGAAATGAGACACATCTGGAAGTCCGTGTGAAAAGCTCAGGGTGTCATGTTTTACACTGCTTTAAATAAACAGTGAGGAGACCGTTGAGATAACTGAAATATATTTTCTGGTGATTTAATTAATTGTTTTCTTGGGAAGATCAGAGTGCAAGGAGTATATTCTTTCTCAAGTTTTCTTCCAATTTTCCTTATGAGTTGGTAGAACATGTAAATGATGGCGTCTGAAACCAGGGCTTCCTATTCTACCCCTGATGCTTTTTGGTAGAACTAACACAAACTCCTACCCATTATGCTCTTGCCAGGCCTAAATATTGCTTGTCATTCCCTAGGATGGCCAGTACACCTCAGCCTTAAACATCATCTGGTATCGCTGCCTTAGTCCTCACCTTGTCTTGACAATGTTTGATAGTTTGTATCCTAATTATAGCCAGGCCCTGCTTAACTCCAGTCTCTGATCTGGCACTGCCCTAGGCCTAGCTCAGCCCTGGAAACAGTCTTGTTTTGGGAAAGCAAATTATTTGTTGTAGGAAAGGAAAATTATGTGCTGTAACAGGATGTTTCAAAAGGCAAAATAAAAGCAACCGGAAGATAGAAGAAATTATTTAATTTGATCTACATGTATTTTAAAATTGACGTAATACTTAAGTCTCCTATTAATCAGCCTGTTATACAGTGGTAATGTAAGTGATGCTCAAAATGTGTAAAAAGTGGTTTCTTGTCCACTGATAAATATGGGCATATTTCTTATATTGTCCTGCCCTCAACATTTGTCTGAGCTATTACTATTAGGTAGCTATGTTGAACTTGTGGAATGTATCCTCCTTTTTTTTTTTTTTTTTTTTTTAACATCTACTTCAGCAGAAGACCAAAGTGTAATACATGTGCACATTTAATGAAATATCTGCCTTTCTAGAGAATGCCCGTGCTAGTGATCTGACTGACCTGGGTGATACTTTGCCTAGGTGTGATATAGATATGCATATCACAATATGCAAGCTGTCCTGTGGCCTGAACATTCCTTGGAAAAGTTAATAAAAATTAACATGTGTTGTAACGCTTGACCAGTATAGAAGGCACTTGTAGTTTACTCAGGAAATCTGATTCCTGTTTCTAATGCTTTACAACTTGAATAGAAATGGTGGTTTTGAAAAGGCAGTTCCTTAAAATTAAGACATATACCACTTTTTGTAAAACTGCAGTACTATCACTCTACAATTTTTTGAGATCTTCTTGGCAGTCCAGTTCTTGTACCATCCCCTAAGTGAGGTAGTAATCCCAATAACACTAGGATAAATTGAGAGCAAAATTTGAGCTGTGCCTATGAGAGATATGATTAAATTCTGGTTTACTGCATACCTCTCTAACTTACTGCTTGTTGCTCTGCAATGTAGAGTCTTCCCGATTAGTCTCAGAGGACTGCAAGAGTCGTTTGGGTAATGAGATTAGGAGAACAGAGGAAAACAATATTCTCTGTCATTGGAGGTATTATGCCAGCTGCCATGCGTAATCTGTGAAAATGGAACAGATGCTACTAAAAGGCTTCCTTCACTGCACCTTTTGCGTACTATTGTTGTAAAACCCTGAAGGGATTTTATGTTGCTTGTTCACTCAACCATTTTTTATTTTATTTTGGGCTTTACGATTTAAATTAGTTTAAGCATGGTCTTCAGACTCTAGTCTACCTAAGCTGTTTCTAGTCAAGGAATGTTGAATATGAATCCTTAATAAACTCAGGTAATAGTAAATGAAAAGAAACTAGTCATCACTCAGAAAAACAGAAAGCTGGAGTGAGATGAATAGTGTCCTGGTATGTCTTACATGTGAAATTTTTTTGAGGTTTAAATTATAAGAATTAGTTGTAACAACTATTAAAGCAACACATTAGCATTAATTTCTTTTTTGTTGTATATTCAGGGAAACTGTATGGTGATGAAGCGTTTGTAGAGGAGCGACACAGGCACAGATATGAGGTAAGCACTGCTAATGTACTTTGTGCTCAAAAGTTAAAGCTTAAGCAAATTCTGTTTCTCTTGGTAGGCACAATTCTCCTTAAAGCCAATGGGAGATTTCTTACATAAACATAACCCAAAATTTAGTAATGATTAGATAGTATAATTTAGATCAAAAGGAACCTCTGTAAATCTTCTTGTCCAACTCCCAGTTCGGAGCTGAGCCAACTTCAAAATTAGATCAGGCTGCTCAGGGTTTTGTCCCACCTAGTTTTGAATCTCTCTGAAGAAAGATTCCACAACATCTTTTGACAGTCTGTTGCAACACTTAGCCGCTTCATTGTGAACACTTTTTTCCCTTATATCTAATAGGAAATTTCCTTGGGCAGTTTGTCTTTTATATTTCAGTCTTGTGCTGTGCATCTCTGAACAGGGTCTGGCTCTGTCTTCATACCGTTCTGTTAGATACTTGAAGTCAGCAACGAGGTCTACTCTTTGCCTTCTCTTCTCCAGGCTGAACAAATCCAGATCATCCAGTCTCTCCTCCTCTGTTGTATGTGGTCCTGCCCCGTAACCATCCTGGCTGGACCTCCTGTAGACTCCTAGTATTTTGTCAATCTCTTTCTTGTACTGAGGGGCCTGAAACTAGACACAGTATTGCAGAGGTGTTCTTGCAAGTGTTCAATGGAGGACAATAATGTAGTGTACTCTTTCTGTGGTAGAAATGGTGCAGTGTCTTAGCAAAATGGTCTTGGAGAGTGATATGAGAGATTACCTGACTTGACTTCCTGTGAAGTATTTGAAAGGTAAAAGCTTATAATCCTTAAATTCATTGCTTCTTGGCTAATTTGGCTTATTCAAAGGCTTAGATTATGTTCAGGTAGTGCACATCCTTTCACAGTCTAAATGTAGGCAGACTTCAGGCATCTGCAACTCGAAGGCCAATTCAGATCACTTTCTTCCTACCGTCCAACTCTATAGGCCCCTTGTATAGGTCCACTCCTCTGGTTGAGAACATCTGAGCAAAGGTGTTTGTGTACATTAAAAACACTATCATAGAATCATTCAAGGAGACAGGCAAGAGCTGGACTCCTAGAGTTGTCTCTGAGATAGTTCAAAAGGGACCTGACTCCATCAGTATCTCCAGAGGGGCCTGAGGTATGAGATGTGTGCATGCTGCAAACTGATTCAGACAATGTTAAGATACCTTAAAAGGCTGTGACGAGAATGTGATGGTGGTAAAGGTGCTCAGAGTTTGAATATTAACTGAGCAGTTAGAACATCACCAAGGAAATGAAACGACTCACTGCAGACCTCCTCACTTTCAAGGAGAAGCTGAACCACAGCTTGTGTCATAACTACTGGAATGCATTGTTCAAAGAGGAGGTCAGTCTTTACCCCTGCCTTAGTGGGCTGTTTAAAAAAAATGAGGAATGCAAGCTGCTCAGAATCAGGAGGACAGCAAGCAGAAGAGACCTCGGTGTTAATCTTTTGAATGTTATGTAGTAAATTTTAAATTTACTGATTCATCTATTCTTAAATAAGCATGCCCACTTTTACAAATTTATACCAGTGAGCTGTTAAAACAAGAAAGCAAAAGTTCCCAACTCTTTTCTCAATTCTTTTCGTTCTTGTATGCATACTAAAAATATTATAATTAACTGCTACTGTTTGTTAAATCAAAAAATACATAGAAATAAAATTATTATTACTTTCAATATTTCAGGTGAACCCAGAATTGACTCACTGCTTTGAAGAGAAAGGTTTGAAATTTGTTGGCCATGATACAGAAGGGAACAGAATGGAAATTATTGAACTGGAGAGTGAGTGTCTTGTCTGTAGTACTTTCTGCATCTATTAAAACTATGTAAACTATAGGTTGTTAAATGATATGTAGGCACAATACTTAGCTATCGTAACAGCCAAGATCATATTGGGGAATACCTGTTGACTTCACCTGTTTATTACAACGGGTGAAGATTCAGAGGATGTTAGGAGCCAGTCTTATGCTTCTCAAGGATTGTGTGTGTATCTAATTATCAGGGACAGACATGCTCCTTTTCCAAAAAGTCATAATTCTAGCTCAGTGGAATTTGGCTATGTAGAATTATAGAATGATTTGGGAGGTAATGTATTCCAACCCTCTGCTTCAGCACAGGGCTACCTTCAAATATAGATCAGGTTGTTGAGAGCCCTGTCAGTCAAGTTTAGAATATCTCCAAGTATGCTATTGGTTGGACTTCAAACCACTCTCCATTACTCTTTGAACCCAGCAGTCCAGTCATTTTTTAACACTTTATAGTCTACCCATAGTCTATAGCTCCCAAATTGGATGCTAGGAAACAATATCAAAAGCCTTGCTAAAGTCAGGATAAAGGAAGGCTACTTGTGCCCAATTGTCTTCCTGTCCTTCATGTGTCTGGAAATGCCTTGGAGGAGCATTTGTTCCATAATCTTGCCATAAACTGAGGTAAGGCTGACTGTCCTGTAGTTTCTTGGATCCTTCTTTTTGCCTTTCTTGAAGAAGGGTATGGTGACTGCCTTTTTCCAGTCATCAGGGACCTCTCATTTGTAAACCTTGGCCTTTTAAAGATAAAAACCAGCTTCACAATGACATTAGCCTGCTCCTTAAGCACCTTTGAATATTCTTATTCAGGTCCCAATAACTATGTTCAGTTTGCTTGAGTATATGAAATATATATATACGTGCAATATAGCTGAAGTATGAAACATCACTGGAATATATTACCTAGAGAGGCTGTGAGATCTCCATCCTTGCAGGTAGACACCTTCAACACTTGACTAGACAAAGCTGTTAGCAACCTGATTTAACTTCGAACTTGACCCTGCTTTGAACAGGAGGTGAGACTAGAGACCTCCCAAGGTGTCTTCCAATCAGTTTGTGTCTCCTTCAGTTACGCTCTGTTTGGAATCATAGAAAAAAGTATAAAAATCAAATAGAAAGCAAGCAGCTTGCTTTCACAGAAGTGATTCAGATAGATGACGGTTTGATACTGTGGAAATCTGGTGGATTTGGACTACTTTACCAAGTAAGACTTGATGTCTTTTCTAAAAGGTTCTGAAATAAAAAGGAGCTATACTGCATATGTTTGTTGAATGCTACACAGAGCAGCTCTTAGAAACAATCCCTTTGATTTTGCTTGATTCCTCGATTAACTCCTTGCTGTTAAGTCACTGTTGGCTAGGTAAATATCAGGCACCTGAAGATGCAGCCTACCTTACAAGATTTTTTTTCATTTTCTTATGTGGTGCCTAATTGCCACTGGTCAAGATAAACTCCATGCACAGAAACAGAAATTTACCATAAGAATACATTTTCGTCCTATGGAGTGCTATTTGTGACATGATGCTCCTGAGAATTAATTTTATACTCCATGCTATGTTGAAGAACAGTGCTGTATGTTTGAACCATGGTTTGAATATAGACACCTACTTACAGTGTCATGCAACTGCACCATAGAGAGTAATCTGAGAGCAAAGGATACATGTGAATTTATAAACTACTAATTGTCATGGTGTTCTTTGCTTAGTTTGTTCCTGATAGATTACCTCTGTTATGCATGCTGGTATTGGGAGGCTATTCTGTTTGCCCTGCATGAAACAACTTCTATAGAAAAGCATTGTGAAATAAATCGGGCAGGATTTTTAAATTGCATGTTACTGTGAAAAGAATAAAAGCAGCAGTAAAACCTGGAATTATTTCACAATGGGCTGCAAGGAGACTCTGATTACTAAAGAAAAACAATCATCATAGGGAGGAGTGTGGGTTGGAGTGGAAGCACAGAAATCACAGTACACTAGATAGCTTAGGCAAAGCTTTAAGAAAAATGTCCTCACAGGAAATATTTGATGCTTTTTCTTGTTCTACAGCTTTAAAGAACTAAATTGCATGCTAGAGAGAAAGAAGTTACGGGATAAATTTAGGATCTGGGTTCTCTTTAAGACATAGCAGCAGAAAGAAGAGCAGTGTATTAGATGATATAGTTTATCTTCATAGAAGAAAACCCCAGTTTTCTTGTTATCACTTATTCTGTACTGCAGAGAAGTTCCTTCAATGTTTGGGATTGTTTTGGAAATTGTTGAACCAGAAGAGGTCTGTGGTTAATTTCATCCCGTGTCCTGGCTCTAGAAGTAGGCATAGAAGTGTACGAAAATACTGTTCCTTCCTTATCCTTTTGAAGAAGACGGAAGGCAAGCAGAAACAGTAATTAAAGAGGTGCTTTGAGTGGGAAGCTGAAGATTTAAGACAAAATGAAGCAGCATGGCTTGTTTAGCTTAGCAGGTGGAATTGAATGGTGGTGATATTGTCATCCTTAATCACACAGGACAAACAGCAGGAAAGAAGAGCACCATAAGGAATGGTTATAAGCTGGTTGTAACAAAGATGGCCTGTGTATTAGGAAAAAGTTTCAAAGCAGAAGGAGAGAGTATCAGAAGAGATTTCTAGTGGGAGCAAAAAAACTTAGGGGGTGTTATGGCAGAGCCTTGACCCTTTGCATGTGAGACTACCTGATGTAGCTGCATTCTGTAACAGGAGGCTGGACTTAATGTCCCAAGAGAACCCTTCCAGGCCCAATTATTTGAAGCCTGTTTTCTCCAGTTTTCTATGGATGTTGCTTTCATATCTATCTCTTAGTGTGTAAACAGTTGCTATATGGTAATGCTTGGTCTTTTAGGAACTGTTTTATTTTTCCCCCAGATATGTATCGGTACATGTTCTGAATATATATACATAAATACACATTGGAAACCAAAATACGATGAAAATAACATGATACATTGTAGACTTTGTGATTGTTCCCCCTCCCCGCCCCCTTACATGTCAGTACAGGTTTATTATTCAGTTTTTAATTGCATCATTGTGCACATTAAGGTTGAATCACAAGATGATTTTTCCTTAATTCACCTTATTAACCTTCTGCCTCTGTTGTAAGTTGCTTTTCCTGGAAAAAGTTAAGGTTCCTGCTACCTCACCCTTAAATTCACACCTACTGATCTGGCTTCTGGACTCCTGTATGAAATCTTCAATAAACCTTTTTTCCTAACAGTTGTTCTACTATCTTCTTCCTATATCTTATAATTTTCTTTGACATCTATCTTGTAGATCACCCATACTTTGTGGGAGTTCAGTTCCACCCAGAGTTTTCCTCAAGACCTATGAAACCTTCACCTCCATACCTTGGACTGTTGCTAGCAGCAACTGGGACACTCAATGCATACTTGCAACGTGGATGTAAATTGTCTCCCAGGTAATCTTTCTTATTTACCTGCCTGCAGTTTGACAGTCACGTTTTTGGAGGGACTGTCCTGTCCTTCAATTCAGAAGTCCAGAAGAGGAAAAGGAGTTCTTCATGTATTGATTTACTTGTTCCTGTGCATGCCTAACATAAACTGCGATGTAAAAGTATCTGTAAGCAGGAAGCACAGTTCCTGACTTCCTCCTTTTCAGAGGCTATTATGGCTAAAGCCAGATCCATACATTATAACCAGAAAGAAGTAAAAAACCTTTAGTAAATTCACATGAAGTTAGTGGCCTCCTTTGTTAACTTTCATTAACAGCTGTTTCACAAGGAAAGAGATTTAGTAGAGGATCAAGCAATGAAATGAAGTTCTTACCTACTTGTATTTGAATGATGATAGTAACAAAAAAGAAAACACTGATTTTATTTTGCAGTAGCTAAATAATTAATACCATCTAGCAGAGACAGGCTTGAAACAAAACAGTTGGGATATCTTTAGACTTATGGGAGGGTTTGGACCTAGATCAAAACTGTATAGTTCAGCCAAACTAAAATCCTTTGTCCCAGTTGCCTTGGACACATGAGGTTTTTTGTTTGTTGAATGTAACAATAGATTTTAGCCAGTGTTAACTCCTTCTTGTTTATTTGAATGATATTAATAACAGTTACAATTTCACTACAATAACAATAATAAAGAGGTCAGAGGAAGCCTAGGGTACAATAACAAAAATGAAAAAAAGATTTTAAAAAGTTCACAGACTGACTGAATAATAGCACAGAACAGATTCAAACCTGGCTTATTGGCTTTTCCTCTAAACAAGGCACCAAAATTACTAGGGGTTTTTTTGTTCCTTTGTTTTTGTTTTTTGTTGAGCATTGCTTTCTATTCTTAAAATTAGGTCCCTTGCTTAAGCAAGAAATAGAAATTTTATGCAGGTTTTAGTAGTAATGGAAAATAGCCAAGCCAGTCCAGATCAATCTGTTTTGGTACCATGCTCCTTACAGGTAGCAGTTGTCTCTCATAAATGCACTTCATCTTTGCTCACCCTGGCTGATTGTGCAATGATGTACATACGGAGGGAATTTCTTTTTGATTTGTAAACTACAGCTTGATTGAAATACACTTATTACCTTACCCTGTCATTGTTATTAGTGGTCATAACATTATCGACCTTTTAAAATTTGTGCCAGTGTATTACTCAGGTCACATTTTTGTGGTGCTTGGCAGGAGGGGAGTCTTCAAGCCAAATGATCTTCAGGCTTTTCCTCTTGTGTGCACTTTCTGCCTCACAGTTCATCTTGTTTTGCGGGTACCAATATCCTTTCTCTTACTGCTTCCTCCCATAAGTATACCTATTTGTTTCTCTGAGATAAAGAAAAATTACTGGTTTTGAATGAATGATCTGTATGTGCCCTGCTAATTTAAATTTAAATCCCTTTAGCAATATAGCAATATGTTTTCTAACCTTGAATTTAAGTTTCAGCAATTACTGAATGTGCCATGCTTACACTTATTTGAATTAATACATAATAAATAAAAAGTATACTCAATTATTTTTCTTCATGTTCATACAATAAACACCAGCCAACATGTAAACATTTAGCAAGGACAAAAATTCAATCCCCTAAAACTTTATATATAAAAATACAAATGTTACTATTTACCTAGTTACACAGACCCTCTGTCTTGAGAAAGAGCATTGGAATAGAAAAACATTTTGAAGCTAAAAGAGGAGTACATTGCAGGGAAGAATGTTCAGAAGGAAATTTCAGTGCTAATTACAGCACACCCACTCATATTAACATATCCACCTGCTGAGTGGAAAGGATTTCCAGTTTAAACCCCAGAATGCTAGTGATTTCATTGAGCAGTAAAGCTAAGGCATGTCATAACAAGACTGAAACAAATCTGAGGAGAGGATTTTCTGCACACCTCGTCCAGCACTGCCTATATGAATTGTAGTCATGCTGTTGACTAGAGCAAAGATGTAACCTGAAAGAGAATTTGTGGAAGCCAGCAAGTTCAGTAGGCTATTAAAAACACTAAAAAGAGAGTTAATGATGAAGTCCTGCATCAAAAGGAAATGCTTATTTCAGCATGAGATTCTTCATGGGAAATCGTTACCCCAGAACATTTAAGAGCCCCATAATTGGGATGCAATTTTAGAACATCTGACACCTGGACAGAAGCCCTAGCTTCTATGCAAAGCAAACAGTAAATTTAAAGATGCATCACACCTCCCAGGAGAGTGCCCTAAATAAATAAGAGTGAATAAACCTTCTCTTAAATTTTTTGAGGCCTAGTCTCGTAGAGAGTCTGAGAATGCTTACACATAGGCATGAGCATACCTAGTTTGAGACTGGAATGCATCCTCTGGGGTAAACTTAGTTCCCAGGAGCTTTGGTGTGTACAAAGATGGTCAAGAACTAAGCAAAGGATTGGAGTAACTCAGTGGTGAGTTATTACTTAGTTACCTGAAGTGGTAGTTGGGCATCTAAGTTGCCTTTGTGGTTTCAGCCTCTTGTGCTTTATGGCATGAGTGCCTAACCATCAAAGCTATGCACTTCATTTCCTTGTGAATGCTTTTAAATTATGACCTCTTGCAAGTCTTTCCATGAAAATACTGAAGTCGCCATTTCATAAGGAGCTGAGGAAGGTGAGAGGCTACCAGTTTACATGTTTCATTTTAAAGTACAGATAGCACTAAAACCACAGGAGAGGCTCAGAAAGTGTACAATACCCACAAATATGCTGCTTTTTAACAGAAACCAAAAGCTTTTAATAGAAAACTAATGGATGAAGAGGGGAACTTCAGCTGTAATGTTGGCTTTTACTGAATCTTACAGAATGTCACTTGGAAAAAGTAACAAGAACTGGCTTATCTTTGGGAACAGTGTCATATGGATTGCAAAACCAGTTATGTACAATAAAGCCATATTACGCTTTTTTTTTTCTTTTCTTCCCCCATAGCAAATTTAGCATCAGCAAGCTTTATTTCTTCTTTCTCCTCAACCAACATCTTTATTAATGGCTGGCAGGAGTAGGCCACAGTGTGTTAATGATATTTGCAAATAATATCATTTAAAGAAGAGCAGAAAGCACTATTCAGAACAAGAAAATAACATGAAAAGGTGTAGAGAATTTAGAAACCCAAGCTGAAAATAATGAAATTATTTGTTTATTTGAAGGAAGAGAGTAACAGGCCAAAGATAAACAATTTAAACACAAATGTCCAGTAGATGGGAGGAAATGTAGGAAGTGAGAAATGTTCCTAGGTGAGAAACTGTGGGCAACCAGGACTGCTGCCAAAAGAAATTTTTGCAAGTCATTAGTAAATATGCTAATGGAAGGCACCAATCCAATGCCATCTAGACACAGAGTAACCTGTTAAGCTCTGGGCAGGTTATTAGTAAAAGATGACTTACGAGTTGCATTCAGAGACAAGGAACAAAAGTGGCTGGAGGACAGAAGGAGTGGTACATAAAGAAAAAAACCTCGGAAAACTTATCCATATGGTGCTTACTGCACTAACGTGGTCTAGCTGCTGGTAACTATCTCAGATGAAGATGTCTAAAGCTGTATGAATTGAATTCCGTGCATGAAACTCGGCTGAGTGTTTTTGTAACACCCAGATACATCTGGTGTCTTGGTTGTGATTTTTGTAATGCTGGGTCCTAATAAAACCATTATCCTAGGTCCAGTTATGTGAGTGTAGAGGTCTAGCAGGTTGGAACTGGGGAGTCTTAGGTATGTGCTGAGGGAGTCTTTAATGAAATGATGTTTCATGGAAGCATACGATCTTATAATGATGGTGATCATAATAAACAATATATGTTAATTTTTATGATATGGGTGAAGAAATATGGGTGACTGCAATTATAACCATTGCACAATCAAATATGCATTTATTTTAAATAATGTTTTAATGACTATAATAATTTTAATCATTCAGCTTTTTGTGGGGGGAATAAATAATAATAATTAACCGATTTATTTCCACTAGGTTCTCAAAAGCTGTAACAATTGTTTGTTTTAAACAGCCACAGCCTGTACTGAATGTAATTACATTTATCTTTAATTTGTACTGAGGAAGAAATACACTTAGCTTTGCTTCTGCCTTTGCAGGGGATAGTGTTACTGTAACAATTGTTTAAATTGCTTACATTTCTGGAAAAGGACTTTTTTGTCGATTATACATTAAAAAAGGATGGCAAAAGTCCCTCTGAAACTGTGTCAAATACCTCATTTTTAAAGAATGTTGATCTGGATTTTCCAAATGAAACAAACAGAATGTTCAAGGAGTACCCATTTTACAGTTGCCTGTGTTTCTTAATATAAACATTGAAAGTAGGCAGTTTGGTGCTTTTGAGTGGCTGTTTGAGAAATATATGTTTGAAATTGATCTTCAGTCTTAATTCTAGTGGTTTTGGAGCTGAGATTGGTTGCTGAGGTGATGCATTCCAGCTTCGTGCCATGTGGCCCCAGCTACTGGCTGCCTTCTGTGCCATACTGATAGGGAATCTTCTCATCTTGCCTCGTTCCGTGCTTTAGATGATGCATAGTAGAGGTATGATGATACCTGTGTCAGTAGAACAGAGAGATCTGAAATGGACATGAATTTGGTAAGACTGGAACACATGCAGGGGGAAAGTCTTTTTATTGCTTATGTCTTGAGAAGACAGGGACCTGAGGATGAGTGAACTTTAAAACAAAACAAAATCCCTTATGTAATTTCTCAACAGAGGATACTTTCTTTGCTCCAGTTGAGAAATATGTTGTAGTTCAATGCAAAGTAAAATGCCAGCTAGGTACTAGTAGATGTTTCACATTGATGTTAACTGCAAAGTGAAATACCAGCTTGGTGCTGGTTGGTATATTTCACTTTGCAGTGAATGTATTTCCATTAACTACAGGTAGATTAGGTGTAAGGATCAAAGTGACCGAAATTCTTCATCTTGAAGACTGAAGTGACTGACTAGATGCAGTGACACTGCATACTCTGAGTTTCATTCTGGTTTTGTCTTGGCCACATCTTTATACTCCAGATCCTATGACATAAAAAGATGGAATAGAACCACTGTGACGGCCTTTTTTGTTGGAATTCACCGTTGTAAGAATCATTGCAAACAAAATGAAGTGGGTGTCAGGTTCCTGCTCAAGATAATTATCCAATTAATTTGTACACAAACTGAGAGAAAGGTTGCTGAAGGAAATGTAAGCATATTTTTTCAGTTGAGGGCTCAGTGTAAAAAATAATTTCATAATGGAAAAGCTGGCCTCATTTGATTTCCTACCACCACCACTTTCATAGCCAGCACATTTAAGTAAGATTACGTAATATTAGCAGCTGTGAGCACAAAATACCAGTTTGGTTTTTGTGTTTAGTATCTGTGTAGCAGCTCAGTGTAATTTCAAAGGAAGTACACATTTATTCTGAAGAGAGGTGATGACTCATTTGTGGTTAATACCACCTGGAGTTTTTCTTCAGATTACCCATCAGTTGGATACAATTCATATCACAGTAAATCTAATGAACCGGACATCAGCATTTGTTTGAAGTTATAACATCCAGGTGCAGATATGCAGAGATTCATGAGTCCCTGTTTGCTTTCAAGTCCAGTGGCAGCCAAACTCTTGAAGAAGTTCAAGTTTCCTTGGAGCCTAAGTTGTTCTTGTTAACATGATACCACAGCCTCTGGGAGTGCTTAAAAATATTCAAGCAGCTGAAACTGTGAGACTGACAGTTACCTGAGTCTGAAGCCCAAGGACTGACCCTTGCCTGGGTATTTCCCCTACCTTTCTTGCCACTGTGGCCTGCCTGTTAGTTGTAAAGCTGACTTACATCCAACAGAACAGCCCAAAAGTAGGGGAGACCTTGAGGTGCTACTGCAAAAATCAAGAATGTGATGACAAGAGCCCTTCTCTGAGATGTGGAGTCAAATCTTTTACTGAATTGGGCAGTGTGGGAACAGGAACAAAATTATCATCAGCTAAGTAAGTGTTTTAGCCTCTGGGCTCATGGCTAGCCAAGTGACCCTCAGCTTCTGCAAACTGGAAACATGCCTGAGAAGTTGAGGTGGTAAGTCAATGAAATGACGGAAGCATCCAGCATTGTGTGATTGCTTCTATGGGTGAATGCCTCTAAAACCTATGTCATTGAGTAGGGGAGGACCGATGATGAGAGTGCTGTGTGGGGATCAGTGCCTAACTGTCTTCAAGAGATGAAGCTGGGTGGTTCTCCACTAACCCCGTTGGTCCCTGAGAATTTTCACTTAAGCATCTGTCTCCCATACTGTCACGTATATTGAGCTCTGGCATATGTTTTTGGGCTGTTACTGCCACTAAGCAGCAGAGCTCATTAAAAATAAAAAAGTTTTCTGAAGACTTTGCGCTTAAACCAGGGCTATCATGAGATTATGCAGCTCTCTGCAATCGCAGTTTTACCCTCTGTCCTGTGGACGATTTTTGCTATTCTGCTGTGATGTGAAAATGCAAAACTGTTTTAATAATACTGAATTTTTATTCCATGTTTCCATGGGTACTTTCAGAAAGAAGTAAGTACAACGTCGGTGATGTTGTGTTTGTCTGTGTGCATCTGGCATGCTTGATCATACTGTTAACAACACTTTCCTCACTTGAGCTGGGTAATTGTTTGCCAGCTGTTGAAATGATCAAATTGAGCATTTCTTGCTAGCCTGATTACGACACACTCTTTATAAGAACCACATCAACAACATGTGTGTCATGTGAAGAAAGGCAGAATGCTGTAGGCAAAGTCTTAATAATTGCTAGAACAGTTGGAATTTCTACTCTGTCTTGTACAGAATTTGGTACAGTGATTTGCTCTAACCGTGGGATGCTTTCCTAGCATTCAGAGGTAGAAATTAAATGAGATGACTGTTGATGCCAGTCCTCCTGTCCCAATCTATTAAAATGGCTGTGTTTTTAATTAATCTTTGATTTTTTAATTTTTTTTTTTCCCCAAAGAAGAGAGGGTGAAATTCAGGCTACAAAGCAGTGCTTAGTAACAAGCACCAGTATAACGGAGTGCAGTTTGTTCACTGCTCCACCGTGCAGTCTAGATCAAAGATTTCCAGCTGCAGGATTACATAGTTCCCCTTGAAACATTGCACAGCAGGCAGTCAGTGTGGATCAACTGATAAGGCTGGGTCTAGGTGGGTTGTGGGCTGATGATGCACTTGATGGCTCAGTGGGAGATCATTCCCAGAGGTGGGGAGTGTGAAGTCACTGAGGTCCTGTTGGCTGGAGGATGAAGGTGTATGTGTTGAGTGCGATGAGACAAGACAGGCGTGCAGTGGCTGGAGAGTAAGTTGGTACCCAAGGCTGGCACTGGTGGACCCATACAAACGAGGTCCGAGATCCCCCCCTGTACTGTGTTGACCATAAGCTGCTCTCTGAAGTATCACAGAACTGACCAGAATTATTGCTGCTCAAATGTACTTGTCAGTTCCCTGGAGTCCCTTTGCTGGCTTCTGATCTTGGGAAATTCAAGTATCTGGAAAACAGACTGTAGGAGTGGAGTGTAGTATGGGGAAGTGGAGGCTGGAGGCTCTTTTGAAGAGGTACAGTTTGTCCATTTGGAGTTAAGATAAACCTGGAAACTCGATACACATCACAGCTGACTGAGAATGTGGTTTGTGGGCACTCCTTTCCCTCAGTCACTGTGGTGATTCCTGTCTTTCACTGTCGTCTTGTTCTGGCCACTTATAAAATGATCACTTGCATGGCAGTTTGTTCTGTGAAAACCAGTCTACTTCTCTTCGGAAATAGCAGAAGGTGATAGAACCTCAGGAAAAACTGTCAGGATATTGCTTGGTGCAATGAAAATTATTTATGTTCTGACTGGAAGAGCAAGAATTGTAATATAAGTATAAATTGAAGTATTCTGAGTAAATAAGGTTGTCTTAATTTTTTCTTTGGTCAAAACAATCATTTTCTTTATGATAAAGGAGAAATTCCTTTCAGTCTTGCTCTGAATACCCGCTATGCTCCATGTCATCGTGGTCACAAGCACACAGCACCAGCAAACTATAAAATGAATGTACAGGAGCCAAGCAAAAAGAAATTGAATATACTGTTTATATGGTAGAATATTTTTTTCTCATCAGTTCTTAGACATCAAACTTAAGCCCATTCCTGTAGAGGAAGGCGTTTTAAAATACCAAAACTGAGCATGAGCTTAACGTAGTTTTCTGGAAGTGGATTGCATTTGAGGAAAGTGTTTGTGGTGCATCCATTGGGTTGGAGGGTTTGAAATAAAATTTTTGTTTTAAATGCTTCTGACTGTGTATTGCTTTTAACAGTGACAGCTACAGTGACCTCAGCGATGACAGCTCTCCAGAGAAAGAGTTTCCTAATTCAGAAACAAGCTGAAATGATTGTATGAGGTTGCAGAAACGGATGATGAGGTAAACTGAATCATTTTGATAATGCTTTATGACATTTATTTCTTCTAGACTTAAAACAGGAGACAAAGTTATCTTGATTCTCCCTTTTGTTTCAAATCCCATCTTGGACCTTATGTTTTCTTTCTTGCCTGCAGCACTTAATTGGTTTCCTCTTCTGCTGCTGGATTCTGCAATTGAGTTATTAAAGTCTGCTAAGTGTTTTGGGTACAGCTTATATGTAGGATGCTGTACAAAATCAAGTTGTGTTAGTGTTTGAAGATACAATGAAACTACATTTTAAAATTATGCTTTCTTTCTTTGTTACTTTAGTTTGCAAGTTTGGATCACTTCGAGTATACCATATTGATATGACTTTTTATTTTGCATTGATTCACCTGTAATTGCATTTGACCCATTGATACAACAAAGACATCCCAAGAAAAATACTTGGATTTAAGCTGCGGAGTGGTAGAGATACAAACAAGTTTTATAAAATCGTAGCTTTTTTTGCCATAGGCTTTGCCAAAGTGATGTTGAGTTGGTTGTTTTTTTCACCTGTAAACATGGTAGCCCTAGATTTCCTTTCAGTTTGGAGATCATATTTCCTGTGGGCCACCTGGCTTTTGCAGGATCTGGGCTTGAATCTTAGTCTTGCTTTATTTTTCTTACACAGATTCATCAGACTTGTGGGTGGTGTGGTACTCTCATATGCATGTGCATTCATGCTTTTCAGTATTTCTGAGCACTTCTGTAAGCAGGACACAACTTTCCCCTCTGATTTTATTCCCCTCACATGGTGTAGTCACTAAGCAGCTGTGCCAAACAGATGATTAAGGCTGCATATGAATGATGCATTTCTGCTTGATGGTCTCATTATAAATGAGATATATACTGGCATGAGATGCTAGAAATTGGAGTTTAGTCCTCAGCCACAGCATGGGATTCTTCCGTGATTTCTAATTTATTTCTTTTTCCCTCGCGTGTACCACATGTTAATGATAATAATACAACCCGAAATCATGAGAGGTGAGAACAGGTTGTTAAATGTTTCCATGATCTGGTGCATGCAGATACGGTACTGATTCATGTCCTAGAGTGATAAAATGTTCTTTTTTACTCTTGCCCATATTCTTCCCACCTCCAGAAATCACTGTGGCTCTGTTTCTTGAGACCAACACATAGCACAGGACAGCCCCTTTAGCTTTGACCTTGCTTTCCTCAGTGGAACTTATGAATGGTAATTCTTGGTTTACCATTACAGTTGTGGCTTTTTCAGTGCTTGGATGAATGTACTTTTGTGATGCTTTTGAGTAGTTATCAATAGTCAAGCTGATTTTGTTTGAACATGTCACTAGTGGATACTAATTGTATTCAACAGAATTAGTCTAGAAAGGGTTAAATAACTAATTCCAGATAGAAAAGAAGGATAGAAGCATTGGCTTATTTATTTTTCTCAGGGTTAATTCTGCCCATTAATCAGAGCTGGATACACATATAGACTATATCTAGCTTTGTGGTTTTGCTTTATACTGTTTGATCTGATGAAATGCATCTACCTGTAGTGTTTACCGTAGGACTACTTTGAAGTCAGTCAGTGGATTTGAGAGAAGCTGACATAAGTATGAAATAAACTGAGTTAAAGAAGAAATACTTTTAATCATTATTTTTTATTCCTGCTTATTCTTCCTTCCCCTCTCTCTTTTTTGTTTTTACAGGAAGTTGGGAACAGGACAATACTGAATAGAAGAAAGAAGAGTAGTAAGCTGCTTATGGTCCTTATAGTGTCTCCTCCTATACTTATTTTCAAGAATCCTCTTTACAGAAAACAGTTTTACTGTCCTGTAGCAAAAGCTGTTCTATATAAATGCTGTTTCTCTTAAAAAATGACAAAACGGTTATGCACCTTACATGTTAATCATTATTGGTCTTGTTCGATATTTCAGAATAATCTCAGGTGAATATGTATTAATTCACTACTGTTCTTGATTTGAAGGAAGATTTCATTGTTTTCAATTCACCTGGGAACAAGAAGATAAAATGCATTAGTTTTTGTGAATGAGAGGGAATGCACTAAAAATTTAAGGGAAAGTTGTCTTATCCATGAGCACTAGAGAACTGCTTCAGGTTTGTTTCCTTTGTTGTATATATATATTTTTTTTTAACTTTTTTGCTGTTCAATATGTACAAATGAGAAATTGTTGCTCTTTGTGATTATAATAATTGATGTTGGATACACATCTTTTCACTTTGCTTTTATAAGTGATTTTACTTTACAAAAGCTCATTTGCTCTATTTCTCCTGAAAGGCTGATAATACTGAACATAATTCTGACCTACAAAATTACAGAATTGATATTAGAAGGTGGTTTTGTATTTGTATTGTGTAACAGAGAAAGTAAATACATTCATATGTTAAAATGTAATTTGAACACTTGTTCAAAGTTGTAGAAGAACCAGTCATAAACCTGGAGCATTATCTGGGCTCCAGCTATGCAACACGCAGTTAATTTCAGTGAATGAATATAAAGGTGAATTAAGGTTCACCCTTGTTTTCCCTCATCGAGTGATCACTCCATGGTCATGGCGCTCATTCCCTAATAGGATAGAACAGTGTATTTTAATTTAGAAATCATAAGTTATTCCACTGCATGACTGTCACAGGCAGCCCTGCAAAGCTGGGACTGCAGCCTTGAATCACTGAGGTAGAAGGGGAAGGTGAGAGGTGCTATACCGTGTTGAAAGCTGGATGCCATTAGCAATGTGGCATCATCAGACCTGTCACAGAAACTGGACCTGAGCTATATAATAGACGGGCTTCAAATGCCTCGGGCACCCTTTCCTATAAAGAACACCTCTGAATTTTGAGCTTTGTGTTTTAGTTTGGTTTTGGGCAAAGTGACTTTTTTAATCCATCAAAAGGTAAATATCTGTACAAAAATAAAAACCACGATGTCCCTTATTACAACTTTGTAAAACACTAAGTTTGAGAGCTTTGAATTGCTTTAGAAAATCTCAGGTTACACAGCCAATTTCTCTTCACTAAAAGAAGCTTTACTGGTGATGGAATATAAAATGTATTCCTATGACAGTGTTTTTCTAAAGCGGTTTGCAAATGCATGCCTTATAAATAGCAGGTATTGACAGAATTGTTGTCACTGTATGTATTCCCCAATGAGAGACACTGGCCACTGGTTTGTGATAGGTGAAGGATTTCCTAAGATTGTCTGTAATGTGCAAATGTATTTTCAAATATATTAAACTGTGTTATTCTGAAGTGTTTAGCTACTGTGTTAAAAGGATCATGGTGCCAATGTGAACTGTGGTGTCAAGGAGGGAATTTTTCATTTAGTCATGTCCCAGTTGTATTGTCTGTGTGATTTATCCAAAAAACCGAGGGGACAAAAAGACATACAACTGGGAGTGAAGCTGGAAATAACACCTTGATCTCCCAGTGCCCTTATATGCATCCTCTTCCTGCTAACTTTGCTACACAAAGCAGTATCCTGTAGGCAAAAACATCACTGTCACCAGGGGATCCATCTCCTACCTGAGCTGGCAGAAGCAGCAGCATGCCATTTCCAAAATGGAAGAAAGCAAATGAGCCTTTTCCAGCCAAATCCCGGGCTGCATTAGAAGTGATGCCAGCAGGTCGAGGGAGGTGGTCCTTCCCCTCTGTTGAGTCCTGGCCACACATGGAGTGCTGTGTCCAGTTCTGTGCTTCCCAGTAGGAGAGAGACATGGGTATATTGGAGGGACTCCAGCAAAGGGCCACTAAGGTGATTAAAGAACTGGAGCATCCCTCCTGGTGGAGGGATGGCTAGAGAGCTGGCAGAGGAGCTTGCCAAGCC